GTCATTTCCCTGAGGTTTCTCCTCTAATCAAGCAAACCTAAGCAAATAGGTTGAGAATAACACAGGGGACACACCAGTGGCCAGATTTTACTGAACAAACTTTCACTGATCTGAAGTGATTTTATTATTACACTGAGCAGATTTTGATGATTACCACCCAAAGCCCATACATTTTTGGGATCCTCTTGTAGTCTCGAGTTAATATTGACTATTGAATTCTTTTCTGAATACTGATTACAGTGAAAGTTTGGGAACCACCTTCTAGTAAGGCATACTTAATAAAGAGCTAATTAAACAGTAACACTAATTTTGAGAGACAGGTCAGTGTGGTGAAAAATGTAAAACTCTTGTTCTTTGGTTAAGTATTTATTTACTATGTAAAGCACACAGCACGGTGTTATGTTTGTCTATCAATCTTTTTCCTAATATGTATACACTGGTTTGTACACTTTTTTTTTAAACTTAACTAGGCCTGGGGGCTGAACACAGTAAACAAGTATGCTGCCTGTCTCGTGATTTTACTGTGTTTCTCTCCCAGACGACTCAACTCAACAAACTCAACTCATGACTCACACTGACGTAAAACACAACACGTGTATATCAAGATTTTAATCTTTGTATATTTTATGGTTGTGAGAGAATTCATATGAACCTTAACAGTATCCTATAGACCAGAAACTATGAATTGACTGAATAGCTGTTTCCTGCAGGAAAAAGACAAAATACTGTAGATCCAAAAAACATTAAAAGATCTCCTCTTTCAACACTATTGAATGAATCCTCAGCTGGTGTGTTGTTTCTCTCATATTGATTCCACTGTGTATCATATATAAATAAATACAAAATAATAATAATATCCCATTATGTAACCCTAATGATCTGGGTCCTTACTGTATAGTATCACTATTGTCTCACTATCTGCTTGTTGTAAGTATGGTCTTGAGTTTTGAAGACATACATGACATAAGACATAGAATGAAAAATATGGCATTGCTTCCATAGTATTAGTCCTCTAAAATCTAAAAAAAATCAGAAATATGATTTTCCTTTACTTCAGCCCTTTGGCTGCACTGTGGTTCCCTGTTATTGGCTAGAAGTAATTTGGACATACTATTCCATGTGCTATGGTAAAAAAAACACAACATGCAGACTGTTTCTAACTGGTGATGAATCCTTTAAGACTCTGAACCTGTATTTTTTGCCTTCTTTCCCTACAGTGAATTCTCGCAGCTGCAGCTATGCTGGGGTATTTCTGGTTGAGGGAGCAAAACGGCACTCTCTGAACCTCGACATGGCTCAAAAGGTGTGTCAGCAGCTGCAGAGCACCTTGGCAAGTCAAGAAGAAGTCCATGAGGCCTATAATAATAGCATGCAAACATGCAGGTGAAACCACAAGCTTTTGTTGAATAATTATTTGTTTTAATTGTTGTGTACAAGACTTTTTGTATTACACTTTCTAAAAAAACATTTTAATGCTATGACATATAAAACATGTATATATTTAACAAATTCTCAAAATCTTGCCATGAGTTGGGCCTTTTTACACATTTAAACATTCAGTTCAGTTCTATGGAAATGTTTTCTCCCAGTCAGAATGAAACTACAATGCAATCAACCGAACTTCAGCTTTAAATGCACTTCTTCAATGCACGTCATCAAGAGATGTAAACCAGAAATGAAGAAGAAGGTCTTCCGGTTTTTCAACACAGATACTGTCATGTGGTAGAAACAGTTTAAACAACTAAAACCACCTTCTACTCCTCAATTGCATTTCTCTCTTCTCTGAGCAGAGTGATGTAATGTGTTTAGACCTTGCTGCTTAGAGACAGGCTGGATTCTGTATCAACAAATGTCTCAAGATGTGCTGCAAGTTGTGTCAAAATATGTCCTAATAATAATATTGTTGCGTCCATTTAGGAACGGCTGGACCAGCAATATGAGCATTGCCATCCTCAGACACAGTCAACATGAAAACTGTGCAAAAAACATGACTGGGTTCATCATTAATCCTCGTGTAGATGCTAACGATCTCTATGATGCCTACTGCTATGATGAAACAGGTAGCTACATCCAGGGGAAATAAGTACTTTCAGTGTAGTCCAAAGCTCATACTCAACTTACTTAAATGTCAGTTTGCTTCTCCATTTTGGTAACGTCTACTTTCTGTGCCCCCTAGTTGGGCCGGAGAAGAACTGTTCCGCTGCCTTTCAAAGGAATGAGGACTCAGATACAACAGGTTAGTACAATGTGCCCATTCACCCTCATGTAACTATAATACATGTAGTTCACATTTGTCACCATAAATGAAAGTTTAAACACTAATATACAGTTAACTGGAACCAAAGTTTAAAAATTAGGCAATAACAACACTACAATCTGTTTCCATCAGACCCACTTAACCCTGTAAAGCCCAAAC